AAAACATTGGCCCCCTGAGCAAAACGTTGTTAGCTACAGGGCTGGTTGGAACACTTTCCCTATGAAGAAAGGTTAAAGCGCTTGGGACTCTTTAGCTTGGAGAAACGACAGCTGAGGGGTGATATGATTGAGGTTTATAAGATTATGAATGGGATAGAGCAGGTAGAGAAAGAAGCACTTTTCTCCCTTTCTCACAATACAAGAACTCATGGACACTCAAAGAAATGGCTAAGCAGTCAGGTTAGAACAGATAAAAGGAAGTACTTCTTCACCCAAAGAGTGATTAACATATGGAATTCACTGCCACAGGAGGTGGTGGCAGGCACAAGCAGGGACAGCTTCAAGAGGGAATTAGTTAAACATATGGAGCAGAGGTCCATCAGTGGTTATTAACCACAAGGTATAGATAGGAACTCTCAGTCTGGGGCAAGTGATACTCTGTATTCTTGGTGCTTGAAGGGGGCAACAGTGGGAGGGCTTCTAGTGTCCTGGCCCCACTGCTGGACCTCCTGAAGGCACCTGGTATTTTTGACAGAGTGTTGGACTGGATGGGCCATTGGCCTGATCCAACACTGGCTTCTCTTATGTTCTTATGTTTGCATTAGGATTCCTGGAAACTATTCACTTCTATCTGTTTAGTTGACCAATCTGTTGACCTTTCAAATATACCTTATCTTAAAGATTGGGTTGTTTTTTTTAAAGGAACCATAGCTTTGCAGACTACTGGCCCTTCTAGTCCAGCATCCTGTTTCATGCAGTGGCCAACTAGATGCTTCAAGAAGGCCTACAAGCAAGACACTGCCTTTGAACATGGAAGTTCCGTTTAGGTTCATCTCCAGTTAAAATGATCAAGCCGTAGATGATTTATTTTATTTTATTTTTCACATTTGTATCCCGCCCTCCCTGATGGGCTCAAGGCGGCTAACAGGGGCAGGATAATTAACCGGGCCATAGTTAAAACATAGAAAACATCTGCCTCAGACCCTGGAGAACCACTCTCAGCCTAGGTAGACAGTACTAGCTCTGATGGACCAGTGGTCTGAATTCAGTTTAAGGCAGCTTTGTATGTTCCGTGTGTACCCAACAGTCTAGCTGAGCACTCTTGTGAGGTTGCAGGTAAAACCTTTCACCCTATTCTAGGTCAAAATATGCTGGACTCCCCCAATATGCTTTATTCTGTATCTATTTAATAGGAATAAGTAACCTCCACTTGTTGAGTATTACCCTCTTCCCATGTTAAGGCTGACCTAAATCGCAGAATGCTCTTCCTGGCCCTTCTCGTTTTGCATCGACTTTACAAAAAGTATACAAAAGCTAAGACTCAATAATCACTGAAGTAGTTATTAGGGGAAAGCCCTAGGTCCCCAAACAAGTGGCAAGCGAGCGCTCAATTTACCCAGAACAGTAAGGTTGATGAGTCCGATGTTTCTCCCATCTACCGAGTTTTCGTCTGCAAGGTTGACTGTGCACATGTACTGCCCAGAGTCTTCTTCTTGAGTATTATTAATTACAATAGAGACGTTAGACGAAGGCATGGGATACAGAAAGCCCACCCGATGCTTGAGATACATCTCCTCTACTTTTGACTTTCCTTCTATGTACGTCAGTACCTGAAAGACAGACAGGGGTGAGCCGAGTCGATCACACCCCGGCAAATAGAAATCAAATCGGCTTCACACATCCAGATGCAAACCAACCAACCAATCCTAAAGGAAACCTGCATGATGTAAAAATGCGGGCAAGGCTCCTGACACAATTCTCTTGTAACTGGAGATGTTGGAGCACATCTACACCATCATGCCTGGAATGCCTTCTTTGGCCACCAAGTTGCAGCCAACTTATGGCAACGCTATATGGTTTAAATCCAGTGGCACCCTTAAGACTAACAAAGTTTTATCTGTAGTAGTTATTACTTTGTTGGTCTTAAAGGTGCCACTGGACTCCCGTTTTGTTCTGCTGCTTCAGGCCAACTCAGCTTGCCCCCCTGAATCTATCCACAAGGTTTAGACATTCAGAGGTGGTTTGCCTTTGCCTTCCTCTGCACAGCAACCCTGGACTTCCTTGGTGGTCTCCAAGTACTTATTAGGGCTGACCTTGCTTACCTTCCTTGGTGGCTTAAGCTTCCTTGCTGGTCTCCCATCCAAGTACTAACTAGGGCTGACCCTGCTTAGATTCCAGGATCAGGCTAACCTAGGCTATCCAGGTCAAGGACAAAGTACCACCTGCTTTCCCTGGAGACAAGAAAGAGGCTACAATTGGGAGCCCAAGTCCCATTATCTTGGATCTCGGTCTTCTCTCCCTTCCCTTTTTGGAGAGCCACACCAGGAGCACATGTTGCTTAGCTCTTCCCACACTCCGACAGACCCGTTCCTCACTTGATGCAGTGATATGTCTAGCACATCATACGGATGAGGCTAGACTGCCATGGCAACAGCAATAAACACTTCAGATTTTCACACGCCGGATGCGGGTGAGGTCTTCAGAGGCAAAGACGTGTCTCAAGAAAGCAGGGCAGGCGTGTGGCTGAAGTCACCCCTTCAGCTGTTCATCCCCCATCAGCAGAACCCATTCTGAAGTAGCTCCAAGGAGCCCAGACAAAGTTTTCTATGGGCAGGGATTTCTTTTTTTAGTTCTCCCTTTGGCTGCTTTGAAGGAACAAGTCAGGAGACTGGCTCACATCCCTGGAATGAAGCCAAGACACAGGTCACCAGCTTCTGCAACACACGGGCCAAACCACTTGTAACTTGGGCATAGATGTTTAGATCATCCAGCATGCAATTGAGCTGGAAACGCAGCCATAGAGGGGCTTGGGTGGGATATGGATCGGAATCATGGCACTGGGGAATGGAGGGGGGCTGCATCTCTCATACCGTTCCTCAGATTGGAAAGGAACCCCCCCCCCATCAGGCTACTTTAAGCCCTTCAAGGGGGGGGGACAAGTACCCATGTTGTACCCATCTCTTCTCTCTCCTGGAAACCAGCTTGAGGGAGGGTAGCATTTCTGATCCAGGAAATGGCACAGGGAAAGAGAAAAAGTCAGTCCTCTCCCCTTTCCCAGTGCCATAGCCTTGATTCGGATCAGGGCCTCCTGCTGTTGCTGCTTCTTTCTGCAGCTCATTTCCACATCTGGAGGACCCCCCAGATGTAGTGGTTAGGAGTGCAGACTCTAATCTGGGAGAACCAGGTCTGAGTCCCCGCTCCTCCACATGCAGCTGTTGGTGTGACCTTGGGTCAGTTACAAGTTCAGTCAGAGCTGTTCTGTCAAGCACAGTTTTCGAGAGAGTTCTCTCAGCCCCACCTAACTCACAGGATGTCTGTTGTGGGGAGGGGAAGGGAAAGGAGATTGTAAGCCGCTCTGAGACTCTTTTGGGTAGTGAAGGGTGGGGTACAAATCCAGTCTCTTCTTCTTCCCTGTGTGGTTTGGCCCCAAGAATTTGGGCACTGGAGGGCAGGGGGTTTACAGACAACCATGCTGAAGGCACTGTTCTCCTGCTCTCAGCTTCCAAGGCCTTTTTGTCAAACCCAGGTCTCCTTGGGGGACCCAGTCACTGCCCCCTGGCCTCTCCCTACCAGTAACGGGATACTCTATTGTTACCTTCCTAGCTAGATTTATACACCTCACAGCTGAACGCTGGCTCTCTAACAGAAGCGCCTTTGTATGTGTGGGAGACTCTTCCGCACAGGGAAACCAAGAGAAGCAGATGGCAAAACAGCAAGAGGCTTTCGGCTGCTCGACGACTCCAGCGTGGGGTGCTGTGGAAACTCTGTCCTGTCTTCCTTACACAAATACTTAAGCAGCCACAAAGTGATGCAGCGGTTAAAGGTGTCTGATGAGGACCGCGGAGACATGGGTTCAAATCCCCACTCAGCTATGACGGTCGCTGGGTGACCTCGGGTCAGCCGTCCCCTCTCTCTTTCAGCCTAACGTACTTCACAGCATTCTTGTGAGGTGTGTGGAGCAAGGGGGTGGAACAGTGTATGCTGCCTTGAGTTCCTTGGCAGAAGGGCAGAATTTTTAAAAAACCTACTAAATATAGATTTTACAACCCAAAGGCAGCATCTGTGCTTAGGCCAACTTAAACTCATCCTCTCAATGACTTGCGACTGCCTGAGACACAAAACTGACGTGATGAAGACCACCAATCTTCCTCAGTCTGGAAACATGTTGTGCACATATGCAGGCCCAGGTCAGGCCAGGGCCCACGTGCAGGCAAGGGAACGGGAGAGGGGATTTAACCCTTCATTCCCTAAGCAGGGTTAAATCCTTTTCCGCACGGCCCCGATCTGAATTGTGGCTATTGTTAAATAGTGGGTTTAACACAGCAGAGGCGAAGGCAGAGTGATTTCAACAAGGAGCAGTGTATTGCATCTCAACAGGAATGCTTTACATGGGGCAACTGTCCTAACTATATACACCTAAGCCACTCCCAGCCCCCATGCGATTGGTGAGTTCAAACGGCCTCCAGGCTCCAGATTGGCTGGCTGCCCACAGGGGTCAATCTGCAGACAGGTTCCAGGATCCTGCCTGCCTTTGTTCTGGGGCTTCAAGCTCCAACTAGGTGGCCTGCACAGACAAGCCCAGACATGCCTCCCCACTCTCCATCTAGGGGGCCTGCCAGACAAGTCCAGGCATGCCTCTTTATGCTGGCTACTAGCACCTGCAGCAGTTAAGCCTGGGTGGACGATTGCACATGTCCAGACATAACAGCTATGCATCCAATTTGCCTTTTACGGACTTGACAGAATTCTTCAGTGTCTGTTATGCCCATTTTGGTCCATGGGAAACTGCCTCCACTGGACCATATTGTGCTGGGGGTGATCCAGGAACCTAGGAAAGCTTATCCCATGGGGCCGTTCAATGGCTGTTGTACACCGAACAGAAGGTGCAGTGCAGTCATCAACTGATGAGCATGCATATAAACATGGGGAAGGATCATAGCTCGGTGGCAGAGCACATGTTTTGCAAGCAAAAGGTCCCAGGTTCAGTCCCCGCCATCTCCACTCAAAAGGACCTCAGGCAGCTGGGCAGGGAGATCAGGGAGAGCTGGGCAGACGGTACAGTGTCAGACTAGGTCTGGGGAGCCTTGGGTACAAAGCCCGACTCAGCCAAGAAGTTCACTGGGTGCCCTGTCCTGTCCAGCCTAACCTACCGCACAGGGTTGTTGTGAGGGTAAAATTCGGAATGGAGAACCCTCTTGCTTCCCTGACTTCCTTGGGACGACTTTACAGGGTTGTTGTGAGGGTTACCAAGACAACGCCTGCAAAGCTGTTTGAACATTCTCAAGTATTACATGAATGTGAAGCATCATAATATGGGAAATCTGTTTTTCTCCTGCAGAGTTAACTTTGCACACAGAAACTCCCTCTCCCCCAGAAGAATCCTTCATATCATCCCAATTGCATTTGCGGGGAAATGGTTTCTGTTGAACAGCTGACAGGTTCTTAACATTTGTCTGAAATACTCTCATATTTTAGATGATTTCTAAGAGCCTGTCAGCTGGAGATTCTCCAAATATGAGTACAAGCTTTTGGAACCTGTCAGTTAAAGTAAAGTGGGAAACAGAGGACTAGGCCTGGTCCTTTTGCCCAGAGCTGTTTATGCACAATCACGCACAACACAAACAAGTTTAAATCCTTTCAAAAAAAAATCTAAATGGTATACCAAGAAACTAACATTCTGCACCAGGAAGACTCCAACCCAGTCTAAAAGTGCAGATTACTAGCATGTATGAGAAAGGAGAAGTTAGAGATCAGCAAAAATCTTTCCAGAGTAGCAAATGAATCTGGGAAGGAAGAGCCCAATGTACTTCTCTAGGATTTTCCATTGATCTGTCAAAATATCCTACCGGCCACACAGTAGCTATTCTGCCAAACGCACCCTCAGTAAACACTGTGGAACAACAAACATTTGCACACACATTATGGAGCCTGCAACATCCACAAAGAAGAACATGTTGTTGAGTCGCAACTGATTCATGGCAACTCCATCCATGGGTGTTCCATGTATCTGCATAGCAGCCACCATCTTCTTTGGTGGTCTCCCATCCTAGTACTAACCAGGACTAACCCCTGCTTAGCTTCCAAGTTCTGACAGGTTCAGGCTAATCAGGCTGCTGCAATGTCCATACAAGTAAATTATTCACAAAACAGCATAATTCAGCAACCCATTTGAAAAGGGTGAGCGAAGAGGAAGCACAACCAACACCCAACAGTTTTGTGTCCTGTGCACAAATGCCATATTTGGAAAGGATGATGGAAGAATGAAAACTGCATTTTGGCTCACTACATGCCAACTATATGTTGCAAACGGGAAACGCATTAGGAATGAGCAGATTTTCCATTCTGTTCCTTTTAGCATTCTGGAATCTTAATCCTGTTTGCATTCCACTCCTCTGTAACTTCAGTTCTGTTTTAAATAGGAAGACTTCTAAATCCATTCCAGGTTTGGATTGTGCACTATTTGCGGCATCTTCTCCCACCCACATTACCAATATGCATGTGGCACAATGGGACAACACTTTATAAAGGCAAATTTTGATGGGCTCGCTATCAAGGTTCTTTTCTGCAATGTTTTGCATGATGTATGCATGTGCTCTTGGGCACTGAAAAGAACACTGTACACAAAAGAATCTTGATGGGAACCCATTATAGTTGCTTTCTAAGGGTTTTATCAATGCTCATTGTTCATGTAGAGGGTGGAAGATCCAGACCAACTGATGAAACTGGCAGCTGCATAATGTTGCACATGCGCAGCAAGTGCTCTGTATAAAAATTGGAAATTTTTAAAAAATGCAACAGAGGTGGGCAGTGAATGCATTAATTCCCTTTCAGAAACAAGACTAGGGAATTTGAAACTCTGAAATTCACAGGCAGATTCAGAAGCGGCCCTAAAACAAATACAGTTTTAAGGGGGCAAGGGGAAAATGTTGGGTAGAATCCCCTATCTTGATCCTCTTTAAGGCTTTATTTCTTGTGAAGATTCTTATTGAAAAGGACAGCATCTTTTTTTTATATCATGTAAATGTCATGCCATGGCAGAGTGGGTCCAGAGTTATTCAGAGGAAACTTAGGGCACGGGCCTTAGCTTTCCAAACATCAGCAAAACTCTTGCTGTGTCTTTACCTGAAGAAGCTTTCTAGGTCCATGTCTTTCAAGAAGCCAGGAGACAAAAGGCCTGCTATTAGAGATGGATGTATACCAGACCGGCAGGATGGCCTGCTGCCCTTTGATGGAAACCACAGAAGTCTGTCCCACATGGACTTCCAATACTGCAGAAGAAAGACCTGCAGAAACAGAGGGAGAAATCAATATCATAACTGCTACACAAATGCTAAGATCTACAGCCTTTTCCGGAAGTGTTTAATGAATAGATTGCAACTCACATGGCATCATACAGCATCATCACTACCAAGAACAGGGCCAGATTAATCATTCGATTTGGTATGCTACAGAATGTGCCCAAAGATGAAGAATAAGGGCCTTCTCCAGACAAACCCTTTGGAGTAACACACACACACACAGAGAGCTGTTACTTATTTAGTGCAGGTGATCCAACAATTGCCCCTGAGGAAGCATTTCTGTCTTGGATGCATTTCAAGCGACAGAATACAGAGGAACACCCAAAATGACAAAACTCCCCCCACTCCATACAACACCACCAGCTCACAAAATGTGTCCTAGTTCACCCGCCTGCTCCAACCTGTCAGTCAAATGTGGCACACTGGAGGTGCGACAATGGTGTGACAACTAAAAGAACCAACCTTATAAAGAATTCAATACAGAAGCTACTGTGGAATCACCGATGCCATTGTCAAAGAGCCACATGCGGCTCCCAGCCACTGTGTCAGTATCACTGCCTTACAATATCCCTTTAAGTTAGGTATTTTTACCCCCTTATAATAGAACAGATCTCTGTATCAGCAGCTGATAACCACTTTCCCTGCTTAAAATGAACCTGGAGAGCCACTGTTTGTTCGTTGGGGAAAGTCTGTATATACAGACAATCAGCATTTCACAATTTCCTTCTCTCTCACCCACATCACTAGGACTTGAGGTCATGCCATGAAACTGACGGTATCTGGAGAAGTGAGCAGTGACTCACGAAACCTCATACCCTACCACAAAAGTTGTTAGTATTTAAGGTGCTCCTGAACTCTTACTCTTTTCTACAGAGTTTCAAAAGTTTCCCTAAAAGGGTATAATAGTGGCTCCCCAGGAAAATTTTGGGTCAGCAAAACAGTTTGTATGTGGGGTGGAAAGGTTAATCCTACTTTTCCTGCAGGATTGATTCGAATTCAGCCCCCTTATGCCTGAGAACTAGTGTGCCGTAGCGGTTGAAGTGTTGGACTAGACCCAGGTTCGAACCCCCACTCTACCATGGAAGCTTGCTGGGAGACCTTGAGCCAATCACACACTCTCAGCCTAACCTACCTCACAAGTAGGGTTGCCAGTCTCCTGGATATTCATGTGATCCCCAGACTACTGAGATCAGTTCCCCTGGAGAAAACAGCTGTTTTGGAGAGTGGACTGTATGGTATTATACCGCACTGAAGTCCTTCCTCTCCCCAGACCCTGCCCCCCCTGGCTCCACCCCCAAATCTCCCAGAAATTCCCAACCCAGAGTCGGCAGTCCCACTCACAGGACCGTTGTGAGGTTAACTGGAGGAGAGGAGAACAATGTAAGCGGGAGTATAAATGAGGTACATAAATGAGGCTTCAAAATGTTGCAGATCTGGAAGCTGCAGCTGGTGCAGAATGCTGCAGCCAGGCTGTTGATGGGTCTCTCTTGGAGGGACCATATTCAGCCTGTGCTGAAAGCGCTGCACTGGCTGCCGATAGCATACCAGATCCGCTTCAAAGTGCTGGTTATTACCTATAAATCCCTTTATGGTCAGGGTCCAGCCTACCTGAGGGACCGCCTTACCTCACATGTTCCCCCAAGAGCACTTCGGTCGGGGCCCCAAAATCTATTGGTTATACCGGGCCCCAAGGATGTCAAACTGGCTGTGACCAGGGCTAGGGCTTTTTCGGTGGCGGCTCCTACCTGGTGGAATGAGCTCCCAGGGGAGATCCAGGCCTTGCGGGACCTTGAGCAGTTCTGCAGGGCCTGTAAGATGGAGTTCTTCCGCCAGGCATTTGAGTAGGAGCCGCCGCCCTACTATACCACCACCGTCAACACATCTGAATGGATGCATCGACGGGGCCCTAGGAAGAACTTAGAATTACAGAAGATCAGATAGGCCATCGCCACTGGATATGTACGCTGAGAATACTAGCTCGAGTCGTGGGGATACCATCTTGGATCTAGGACACTAGTAACTGGATAGAGCAATTTAGTCTTAGTTTTGATGTTTTTATTATGTTTTTATATGTTTTTACTTATGGCTAGACTAATGATCTGGCCTCTGTTAGCCGCCCTGAGCCCACTGGGGAGGGTGGGATATAAGTGTAAAAATAAATAAATAAATAAATAAATAAATAAATAAATAAATAAAAGGGAACTGCCAGCCCACAGCTGTCTGACAGCACCATGTGGGTAACGTGTAGTTCGGCCCGCAGTATCTTGACCCTGCTGAAGCGTAGGAGCTGGTGTGGCACAGAAGTTCTCTGCCTGGTTATCTGAGATGACCAGCAACCACATGGGGGACTGTTTGAAAGTCAATGCTAATTTAAAAAATGTATATGCATAAACTCTGAAGGTTTATGGATGGAAGGATGGAATCTGGGGATGCAGTATGGATTTATGGGGAGTGGGTGAACCTGAAGATCCTGCTGAGGGTGCAAAAAATAGTCCAAAGGAGATGTGCACCGCAAGATGTTCATGATGGTGATGCATGTTATCTAGCGGCTTTGCTGCCAAGGGCTTCGGCATCACGCTCTCCCCCACCCCCATTTAAATGTCCCTTTACCTCACGTCAACTCTTCCAGCTTCTCGCCCCCATGATCATTGTAGAATTTCTTTTAAGAAAACCATTTTTGGAAGATTACCGGAGAGAAATTTTACACATTTCGGATGGGGGAAAGAATGCAACAGCTGGAGTGGGAACATTTGGCATGCCTCCTGAGCAGGCTTCATGCACAAACCTTCGAAAATGGCAGGTAAAGCCAGGTTTGATCTGTGAAATTATTCCATGCGCATCATGTTCAGACACTCTGCGTTTGGAGAAAGATGTGCTTCATTAAAAAAACAACAACAACCCCACGCAGACGCACCAAACTCATGAAAGCTGCTACCCTCTCTCATTAGTATTTCTATTTTGGGACTGAGAAAGCTGATTAATTTTAAAAAAAAATGCTAGAAGAGGGCAACTGTTCTCTGAACTCAAAGCGCAAAACATTCCTGATGCCAAAGTGTTTTACATCAGCTATTTCCAAAGCAGAATCACTCCAATATCCTGTCATCAAACAGCAGCAAGTATCGACCCAAGAAACATACTGCTCACGATAGCTAGCAGGGGCTCTGTACAAACAGACTCAAATACACCACACGGTGCCCACGCTCTGCTCCCAGTGCACCTTATGAGTACAGGGCAATGTTTAAGAGGCTTCAGATACTATATTAGAATGTATTCTACATATTTTTCTTCTCCCGCCCCCAAAAGGGTTTGCAGGGGTCAAGATGGCATTCAAGTATGAGAAAAAGAATTGTGCTCCAAAGGTGCATACCAGATTCCACCCCCAAACTCTCATACTGCTGATTCAAAATGGGGAGAAGAAGAGAATGCCCCTGTTTTTGTAAAACATTCTGACCCTCCCTCCTGTAAAAACAGACCCAGTAACAAAAGCATTCAACTCATCTCTGGCTCCGGCCTCTTACCAAGAGAAGGGAAGGACCAGTCTCACAATATCACACTGGGGGAAATGATCAGCAGCCATTTCACATACATAGGAAGGTGCCTAACACTAGGTCAGAACGCTGATTTACCTAGTGAGCTCTCTGGGGGTCTCAGGAGGAGGAAGATCTGTCCTGTCCCCTGCTAATTCTGAGATTAGGGATGCTCAGACACTCACCAGTTTGGCACACACTCTTTTCACCAGTCATAAACAGGGAGCTGGTTTTACAGTGGCCTGTTTGTTGCCCTATTCACAGGTTGCATCAACGACTCCCTTCTACGATTGGTTTTCTGCACGTGCGCACTCCAACAAGCTCCTAGCCCCAGCCCATTGCTTCACCACTGCTCTGCCCAGCAAGCAATTGTTTAAGCAGACAATTAAAAGAGTTGCAAATTATACAAATCCAACATAAACAAATACTATTTTTAAAAAAATCCTACCATTCAGGCTTTGGCTAAGTAGTCCTTAGATGTTAATGGCTGCCGATCTATTTGAATCGGCAGGGTTTTCATGCATGTGTAGTTTTTGAAAAAATCATGATGCAAACCAGTTCTTCAAGTGTTCAAGGTGTTTGCTTGTTTAGTGATTTGCTCATGTCTGATAGGTACAGATGAACACTCCAAGTTCAACTGCCTAGCAAGTTGGCTGCAAAAATTGCAGTGTCCCTACCTGAGATTTAATAACTGGAGATGCCAAGGATTCAGCCTGGGATCATCAGTATGTAACACAAATCCTCTACCATTGGGAGAAGACTCCATAGATGTATGCACAGTGCAAGCTACCTTTTCTCTTGCTAAGAGAAGAGGAGGATCAGGTTGGGTTTGCAATATTCCTACAGCCTTTGCAACATCCGTGCAGAGAGCTAGTGCGATATAGTGGTTAAGAGTATTGGACTAGCATTTGGAAGGCTCAGGTTCGAATCCTCACTCGTGCCAGGGAAGCTCGCTGGGTGACCTTGGGCCAGTCACACTCTCTGAGGTTGAGCCTCACCTATCTCAAAGGGTTGTTATGAGAATAAAATGGGGGGAAGAGAATGATGAAAGTTGCTTTGGGTCCCCATTGGGGAGAAAGGCAGGGTATAAATGAATGAATGAATAAATAAATAAAATAAAATAAAATACAGTCTGTGTCTCTTCAAGAAGCTACAGCAGCCATTTTACAAGAGGCAACTGCCAGTATGATATGGAAAACCCTTGCAAAGAAAAGGGTGCATCTCCCCCCTCAAAGCAGCAGCCATAGCAATATATTGTCTTCAATGGGAATCCTCCCCTTCTCTTGAGTCCATCCCCTTTTACCTGTTCTGCCAATCCCCCTTTTAACCTCTTGGTGTGGTAGATAGAGGTAGGAACAGCCATGCAAGGCCCTCAAAGTCTTTGGTGCAAGAGGTGGAGAGGAAAAGGAAAGTATAACTGTCACTTGGGCAGACAGGGTGAAGTCCTTTAGGTTCTATCTCACAACTCCCTTCAGGTGGAGGTCACCTG